CAAAACGCATTCATGTGCCATAAATGCCTATAAAAAATTTATACATTTTTTATGGATTTGTTTGACAAATAATTAAAAAAAAATAATAAAATGGGTCTTTCTTTTGCAATTTTGCATGAATCTGATGAAATATAACGTGAATTAATCTTATGCAGAAAGAATATTTATATTTAAAAGTCTTTTTCGCTCTTTCCTTTCTAAATAAATGTAATCGAAATTTGACAAATTATGCTCATTAATACACATCAAACGTCTCTGAAACTTTACTTTCATCTTTAAAACATACTTTTAACATTATTTTCGCAAAATTGAAAAACAATATTTCAGAATGGAAATATTAGCGTTGGGCTTCAAAAAAGGCCACTAAATTTCCCATCTCAATATAAAATTATTAAATACTTCTTCCTCAGGGGATATCGTGCATGACTTGCTGAAACATTTTGCAGATCAAAAGTCAGGCAGCTAAAAGATGGAGAAACTGAAAAACTCGAGTGAAATGTTATCAATTTTATCTTCATTTGTATAGGGAGAACACTCTAGAAAAATGAATGAAGCATAATAAGATGGTGAACTGCGACTATATTAAAATTATATTATATTATATTAAAATCACGCATTAAAAGATTGAGGAGCAATATGAGAAGCATCTATCCTTTTGTATTCAATAATCCAGAAGTTAAAAAGAATTCGATTACATGATCAGTATGTACTGGTCCCTGCTGACAAAGCAGGTACCAACATTGTCTTTGTTTGTAAGGTTCATTATATTAAATGTATTTTAGAGGAACTTGGATTTAATTCTACAAGTGGTAATCCAACTTATACTCATAGTTCTCTTTCTAAGGAAGAAATTCTTCAGAATCATATGTCAGTTTTGAATATTTTTAATATTCCAAACAACCAAAATGAATTTGAATTACCATACCTATATTGGATTCTGAAACTTTATAAAAATCCTTACAAACAAATATACATCGCGGGTTCCAGTAAATGTTTAACCAAGCCTCTTTCTTTACTCCTCACTAAGATATTAACAGTAGTGAAGGAGAAACTTCAAGAGTACTGTGCAATAATATATTCGAGAAGTGTTGTAAATCAGATATGGATACTTAAAAATTCCAAGGAACTTTTGGAAAATTTGAAATCTCAAGATTTTACCAAAATCAACAGCTTAAAAACTTACGACTTTTCAACTTTATACACAAACATTCCCCACGATAAATTAAAATCCAGGCTTTTTGATATCATTGACAGCTGCTTTAAAAAAAAATGGGACCCGTAATTTTGCTTACCTTGTCATTGGTCATTAGCAAAATTATTTTCTTTAAAAAACATTCTGATTGTACACACAAGTACTCTGAAGTTGACATTACAAAGATCAGTTTCTGATTGACAATATCTATGTGGCTTTTGGAGACCAGGTCTTCCAACAATCTATTGGAATTTCCATAGATACCAATTGCGCCCCTTTATTGGCAAACCTTTTTTTTTGGATTCATATGAAGCAGAATTTGTCCAAAATCTTGTACGTGAAAAGAAAACTTTTGCTGTGGCCTTCAAATCGACATTGAGATATATCGACGACGTATTGTCAATTAACAATGGTTACTTCCATTCTTATGTCGATACGATGTATCCCGGTGAGCTTGAGATAAAATATACCACAGAGTCTGACACATCTGTTTCATATTTGGATATTTCACTTGAAAAAGACGTTAATGATAATCTAACAATCAAGCTTTATGATAAACGTGATGACTTTAACTTTTCAATCGTCAACTTCCCTCACTTATGCAGCAATATACCTTCATCACCTGCATACGGGGTTTATATCTCTCAGTTGATTCGATATGCAAGAGCATGCCATGCTCTACGTATGTACAATTTTTAAAACAAGGTAAATTATTGACAAACAAGTTGTCGAAAAAAGAATATCAGCAGTCTCGTTTAAAATCATCATTTCGTAAGTTCTATGGTCGATACAATGACCATGTCAGCAAATACAATTTATCAATGAGTCAAATGCTGACTGATGTTTTTCATACTAATTGTTAGGCCATTATTTACACACTGAATTCTCGACGGATTTTTCCGTTATTTCCCAATTATGATAAGGAACACACGGTGGATGTGACCGGTCGGCAGGGGATGCTCACTCCTCCATGGCACCTGATCCCACCTCTGATGTTTTGGAGGTTCGTGTTTGCTCTTCCCCTATTTTGTATTGTTTAATGGACTTTTGAGCTTGAATACTGTTCGTTATCTCCATATATTTCATACATGTACATGCATGCGAATTTCCCCCCTTTTATTTGTGATATTTCTAGCCCTTGAATCTTATAAAAGGAAAATATTGCCTATGCCCAGTGATTAACATCCCCATAGGGAACGGAATTAGAGTATAAATTATTGATAATTGTTTTTGTGAATATATTAATTTTCAAGTTAAGACTATTTTTAACCATACATAACTTAATAAAAGTAATAACTTGAATCTTTGAATATTTGGATATCTATTTAGATCTGCATAGTGTCAGAAAAAAAAATTAAAAAACGAAAACTTGTCATTTCGTATAAACGGAATCATAAATATTGTTTTAAAGGGTAACCTCATTTTACATTTGTAAATGGTGCACACACGTATAGGGCCGGAATTTGTTGTTGTTGTTGTTGTTTTATGAAAATTTTACCAATTTCTATTCCTGTTAATGCTTTTATCCTAAAAAAATGTAGTAATTTGCTTCTCATAGTTAGATAATTTATCTCTAATCAATGCAAGTTGGTTGAAGAGATAGCAGGAATCTCCACTGAGTTCAACCATGTAGATTTAAATTGTTGTTGCATTTTGATTTTTTGCCATCTCGAAACACTTTTTGATATACATGTATATATATATTTCTTGTACGTTTCATTGTAATGTCAGTGTCTATAGTTATAATTTTCTGTATTTACAACACATTTTCAATAAAATTTCACAAAAAAACAACCATACCATTAAAGTATACAATTTATATAGATAAAATCTAAATGAGTGAAGTCACTGATAAGTTGCCTCTCTGTTTATAAATCTCTGATATGAATTTATACCATTGACTAATCTAAATAAAGAATTGAAAATACTGTATTTCACTCATATATCAATACAAGCACTATTTGTTCCACCTCAAAAGACAATTACTAGTAGTGAGACGGAATAAAACTAAATACACTGAAATTCGAGGTATAGTTCCGCTTGAATGCGTTTACTTACATATTAAGTTTCAAAAATTTACGATTCGCTTTACCTTTAATGTTTTTTCCTTATCTTTTTTAATACAAAAAATGAACATTCATTAAAGACAGATGATTGACGTAAAATGCACAAACCCCTCTATAAAAAAAAAAAAAAAAAAAAAAAAAAAAAAAAAAAAACAGCATTTAAAATTGTAAAACTGTGGCACCAAGTGGACTCGAACCACGACTCTAGATAACCTTTAAAAGCCATCTGTCTTATCTTCTCAGCTATTCTGACTGTAGAATAAGTGGGCAGAAATACGAATCAAGTTTTCAAAAATATATTTTTTACGCCCGAGAGCGAGGAAACCCCCGAGAATTTCAATTTAGATTATTCCTTGGATCACATCCTATCCAAAAACATAATTCTAATCATGGGCAGGCTTGCCCTGAAGGACTTCTAGGTCGAGAATCATGGAAATACGGATGCTTAAATGTATGATATATACTGGAAAAAATATTGAAAATGTTGTTTTGACAAAAGTTGAGGGTTGATTTTAAAAATAATAAATAATAGATTTCAAGTTAAAAAATATGAATATTAAAAATAGACACATATGCACTAGAAAATATTTAACGAACATTGACATTAAAATGTGAATTTCTCCGGGAAATTGTTCTCTCCTATGGGTCAATTCGTTTGAAATTCTGACTACATCCTTTATGAATTAAACAAAGTAAACAACTGGTTTATTCATAACATTTAAATAACTTTAAAACTCATTTAACCATCAGCCATGAAAAGGCTAGAATAAAAATTCAAGTCAGTTACCTAATCATTGCAGACAATTGAATTGAAGCTGTTACAAAAAAGGTGTTTGAATATAACCAACAGTTTTCAAGGAAAGTTTGAAAAAATGTGGGCAAACAAATTATAAAGGAGATTAACAAAACCAATCAATGGAATATCAATATAGTTTTTTTTTTTCTTTATTTACTATAAGAATGGGAATTCCCCCTGTCAATGGTTCCAAACCGCACACTATAATTACTATCCTTAGTTATACAGTCACTTAACCTTGTAAGGACGTGATATTGAGATATTTTACGACTTGCTTGACATATTTATTGCATGTCCGTTACGCACTGACCACACTGATTGTAAACAGACTGAAAAATATATATGTATGGAAGAGAAACTTACGTAGACTCATAAAATCAGACTATGTTCATTGTCTGGATGAACAAAATGCGTAATTTAAGATCAAGTAAGATAGACAAGGAAATACTAAGTAGGGTATATATTGCAAAGCGAATCCTCGGATGTTAAGAAACACTATCAAAACTCACCAGTGCTTATTAAGCATAGGAAAGGTAAGAGTACAGCGCTAATTCTCTTTTTGGTACTTCAATAATCTAATAGCATGCAACTGATGAGATTAAATATGTATCATGAAATGTAAATCATAGAATAAAATGCATATAAGTTCCATTTCTTAAATAGAATAAAAGTTGATGCCATTTCTAAAAGGAGTTTATTTTACTCCTTATAAGATTTCAATTCAAATAACTTTCTCTTAATTTTAAATATCTATCATTTTTGTTCTATCATTTAGTGGTTAAAATAATCCAAACTTATATTCTGTATATATATTTTTTAAGACCAAATGAAAGCATGCACTAGTCATTAGCATTATTTAATTTTTTCCCTATTTTATAAGACAGATATTTTAATTGTATGGTGTGATACAAAAAATGATTTTTTTCCCACAGGTCAATAACCCACAATGAACTCCTTATTATACTCACTTCTTGTGGCCTGTGTGGTGATCGCTGTTGTACACGGACAGTGGTACGGATCATACGGACGAGGAGGATGGGGAAGTAATTATGGAGGATACGGACTCGGAGGTGGATATTACGGGGGTGGATCTCTCGGTGGCGGATATTATGACGGGTGGAATGGTGGAATCGGAGGCGGATTCATTGGTGTGGGGCGCGGAGGTCTCGGAAGAAGATCGTACTACTAAATTTTGACTAATTTTGACGATTAGTGTTCTGATCGTAAAAGTTTTTGTAGAGCGTTATTTTAATTAAGACTGATTTTTTATCTGCAAAACACTGCGATAAAAAGGTGCATTGTTTCCTTTTATGAATATCATCATTTGTGCATATATATGTGTATGTGTGTGTGTGAATTTTTATGGTCTGTTTATCGTATGCATTTTGTTTTCACATTATTTATTTTGAAACATATTCAAGTGTTACGAATGCCGTTTTATAAATTGTTAATACAAATTTAAATGATCAATAAAACGATAAATCAAACATTTTTCCTGTTGCAAGTTTAGATGAATTTTATGAATTTGTCTTTTGATCCTTAATCGGGAATACACATTGAAACCTGAAGTTATTCATTGAGTGCTTTACTCTAACGCCCCTTGGAATCATTTAATCAAAAAGGAGTTATATCTCTTTCTATGTTTATGTTAATTGCCAATCCTGATGAATAATTCATCTTTTATCAGATGCATCTGAAAATCTATAATTTTCGTTGTTTACCTTAAACAATCAATTCGCTTTTTGGAAAACAATCTGTACGAAGATTAAATTGTTTGCATGATTTTTTTGGCAAATGTATAACATTATGTCCAAGAAAAAGATAAAAAAAAAAAATATAGCAATTTGAACTAAAATTTTTCAGCACAGTTACAATTATTATATTAATCAGTATTTATCAAACTCAACAGTAAAAGGCGAAAATAATTATCAGTCTTTATCAGAAACGACTACAATTTTCAGCAACAACAGCAATAATATCTGATTCAGTAAATATCAATATTTATCAGCAAGAACAACACAGTATCAGTAAATATCAATTAATATCAGTAAATTTGGAGATTCTCAGCACTTCTTTCCCAGAAATAATAGTTAAATTGAATTTATCTTAATTTGTTATTTTAAAAGGAGGAAAATGGGTTCATTTTTCATTTTTACTTCAACATTTTTAACAAATTCTCGTGCGTTTTTTTTTTTTTTTAAATTATTAATTATACATTCTTTCTAATTATCTGTATGACTCTCTATGATCTGATGTCTGAAGGATAAAAATGAATTTGAAAGTTTATATACATGTGTAACTATGGCGTAGAATCACTATTAAAACGAAAACGCAAATGCAACTTGAAACCTAAAAAAATATATATTCTTAATTCTAAACAAAGTATTGATTGTTTTGCTTTAGAAAATGACTTTTTTATCTTCTCACATCACCCTGCGAGCAATGAATAACGTATTTTAACTTACAACTGTATAACGTCATTCACACGCGTAAAATTCAAAACAAAAAGTTGTAGCATTGGGCAACATCAACACATTGAAGGTAACTTCTATGTGAATAAATAGAGTTCATTCAATCACCAAACATTTGAAAGCATAAGCAAGCATTTAGATATATAATGACTTGTAAATTAAGATATTTTAACGGGGAAAATTTCGGGGTTAGAGTACATACCCCAAACACATATGAAATCAAACATTGACAGTTCTGGCATTATTGCAGTAAATGCCATTGAACAACATCAAAACACTTTAAATACTTTTTTCTTCGTAAATTTTGAGTTAATTCAATCATCAGATCTTAAAAAATTCCAATCCATCAATTGGAGGAATGAAGAAAATGAGGATTGAACTTGTATCACAAATAGAAGCCAGTACGAGGGTTGTTAGAAAAGTTCGCGGACAAGTTATTTTGTGAGAGCGCTTTTTGCATGAAACCAGTACAACTCTATAGACAGAAACTATACAGATTTTCCAATAATGATGCAAATATTTGGTGTTTTTCGATGATCCTTAAAAAATGTACAGCTATTCTATTTAGATAAAACATGCTTCACGGAGCATGTCACTTTTGGCACATTTACAATTTTTTTTGGAAAAAAATCTATAAAAAAAAGCATTGTTGTAGCGCAGAAAGATTTATGATAATTTACTTACCTCTACAATAATCATGATGAAACATCATTTGGCGAAATTGTGAATTAAATTGGAGCCGTCATGACCGTTTTATCGCTAATTTTAGATAATCAATGCAGTAAAAATAAAGTCAAGAATGGCAACGTCATTGAACGTCTTGGGACACCGCGCTATTAAAACAAAATATGTCTGCAGACTGGAAAATACCCGAAAGAGACTCGAATGTTCTAGATGCTGCTGGGAATTGCCTACACGTATTTAGAACCCAAGTGTTCAAATGGTAGTGGCTTATTAAGAATAGAAGTATTGACATTTTTGATAATCAACTCTTGTGATACCCCAATACCCCGCTTATTGCATGGACGTTTCGCCTATGGATTTTGCATTGTTCCCATATACATGTACTACGTAGACATTGACTTTAAGATCTCACTTATATCCTATATGCCACAAAAAGACATTTTAGAAAAAAAAAATAGTAAAATGTCTTTATATAGTTATTTAATTATTAGGTAGGAAAAAGACATGAAAAGTCTACAGAAATGAAAGATATTTGGAACTGTGAAAAGGCTTAACAAGTTTTGAAGCAGGTTGTTACGTCAGCTATAACGTTATGCGATTGCTCCGTGAATCCTGTGACCGCACAGTAAAAATCATGGTATATTTTCAAACTTTTAGTAAATGAACCTGATTTTTTTTGTTTACATACAAATAAACAAAAGATAAGCATTTAATTAGAAAGACGTCATTCTTCAAAATACACATTATATTTTCCGTAAATTGACGTGTCCGCGAACTTTTCTAACAATCCTCGTATAGTATCTAATAATATCAGTTTTTTGGGGGATTTTTTCTCTTTTTCTCTTTTTTTTTGGGGGGGGGGGTGCCTTTGCCAATTAAATAATAAGATTTTCAGAGAAATAAATTGAAAGATGAAGATAGATATTTAAAAAAAAAAAAAAAAAAAAAAAAAAAAAATTGGACGTCTACATGAATGAGAATTCCCGTGGCAGATTTTTTCAGGACCGCCTGTTATTCTTTTTATTTTCGGAATAGTGATAGATTCACTTGACCTTGTAATTTTTTTTTTTTTTTTTTTTTTTTTTTTGGAAAAAAAATATTTATCTTCAACTTTCAATTTATTTCTCTGAAAATCTTATTATTTAATTGGCAAAGGAGTAAGCGCAATAAGGATTTATTTGACATCTTTATTATAATGTTGTTAGACACTGACCACATCAGGCTGTAAGCAGGCGGGGATTACAAGTATACTGATTATATTTAGAACAACTACGCAGTGTCCGTGAATTCTGACTACGTGTATTTTCCTTTTTAATAAAAATACGTAATCGTGGATCAAGGAAAATAGACAAAGACAAGGAAATACTATGCAGGGTATATATTGGAAGACGAATCCCATAGTGTTCAAAATATGATAAAGGAATTGACTGTGCTTCGGAAAGATTTGAAAGGTATGGCTACATTGTTTATACAATTCTTTAGGATTTTTGCTATTTTGTTGTGTATCCTTTGTCTTATTATGATTGTAAAAGTTAGGCAGCTTTACCATAAGTTATATAAAAGGTGTATGATTTGATGAAGAATAATGCTTATGTCAGATATCTCAAAAATTTTCTCAACTTTCCGTTGTTCAATTATAGACCCTTCCTCTTCCTGGAGTCAATTTTGCTATAAGTAGACATTTATAATTATGTATTTATGTTTTGAATTATCATTTAAAATTTTGAATGGATAACTTACAGCAGAATTGTCTGTTAAAGTGACCACGTAGGAGCACTAGCCTTAAACATAATTAAACTAATTATTCTCATAAAAAAATATTCTTTATTCATTCCTTATTTAGAAATATGGGGACATAGAGGTCACCATTTTTCTGTGTCGTCTAGGACATTTAATGTGACATAGTCTATAATAGAATAAAGCGATTAGTTTTGTTTTCGCTATAAGATCAAACATTAAAAGATACATGTATACCACTTTTTCACTCACGTGAATATCGTGAACTACATGCAACGCATAATTTTTCAGAAAATGTCAATTCTTTCAGTAAAGCTGTCATTAAACATAGCATCCATTTTTCTTCATATGAAATTAGATGATTTATTCTTGGCATGTGATTTTTACTCATAAACTGTATTTTATATATAAAGTTTACTTACTTTACGTAATTTAGCAATATGTTCATTTTCTCCATCAGGTACATCGCCAATAATGAACTCCTTATTATACTCACTTCTGGTGGCCTGTGTGGTGATCGCTGTTGTACACGAACAGTGGTACGGATCATACGGAAGAGGAGGATGGGGAGGTAATTACGGAGGATACGGACTCGGAGGTGGATATTACGGGGGTGGATCTCTCGGTGGTGGATATTATGACGGGTGGAATGGTGGAATCGGAGGTGGATTCATTGGTGTGGGGTGCGGAGGCTTTGGAAGAAGATCTTATTACTAATTTTTGATTATTGAAGATGACTAATAATTTTGATTTCTAATGAAATATTTATATGCTTAATTGAATAAATGACATTTTTGTCTGCATCTGACGTTGATATGTACATTGCAATACATTACATGTTCATTTATAGGAAAAGCTTTGTTTATACGTATGTAATATGTTTTCTTATCATCAATTTTCCATTCGCTTAATTTATTTTGAAACATATTTAAGTGCCATTATTGTTTGTTTATATATTATTTCTATTTTTTGTTTGACAAATAAAATTATGAAATAGAAAAAAAAAAGGTTTTTGACTTGCAATTTTATATAAAGCTGAAATATGTTGCATTAGGATTCCAATGATTAGGAAAGAATATAAAAACAAGAGGTCTCACTTAAAACACTCGGTTCACCATTCCTTGATATCTAATTCCATAAACACAAGAAACCTCTCTTCCTTGTAAAGTTATGATGAATAAGTGTAACGAATCATGTTGCAAATGGTGTTCTTATCACTTGCCTCCACAAACCTATAATTTTCCTTGTTTACCCACGGAGTATTTCCTTCTAAATTAAATTTTGATGAAAAAAAAAATTATATACATAAATTGTAAGCCTAGAAGGAAAAAAAGAAATGCTAAGAAAATCTTCTAGTAGTACCTGACTATATGTTTATTTTATAGTTTTTCATCCAAAGTTACAACTTTTCAAGATATGAAGTACAAACACAATAATAATTGAAAGTATAACAGATGAATAGACATATATTCAGACAGCTTTACAGAAAATCAGACATGTGTGAAATTATAACCTCGATAATTCGTATAACCATTCTTTTTGGTGGTGGGGTGAGGGTGGGGGAAGGGTTGCTATTTCAATTAAAGTTAAAAAAATTTAATTTTGTTCAACCATTGAACCGTAATAATAATATCAACTAGATTTTTTTTTTTACTAGAACTTACATCCATTGGGTAGTTTCTTCCTTATTTTCATAAATAATGATACTTGAAGCAATAAAAGAAAAAAAGATAGGTTAAGACCCCTTTTTGATGCCTGGTTTGTGGTGTCTCCAAGAAGGATGCAATAGTTCATCATTAAAAACCCCTTGTCACCTCTTGTAAAATGAGTATTTATTCAAAGTTATTAGACCCACAGAAGTCACATGAAGGACACAAAATAACCAACTTCTAAATTGTCTAACCAGTCACGGAAACCCAGTGGTAGCGGAGGGGTTTTCTTAGTTATCAAGAGGCCCGGGTTCGATTCACGTTCGCCACGCAGTGTCAAACCTATGACATAAACTTAGGGATTGACTGATCCTTCGCAAAGTGGTGGGCATTAGAAATGAGTCTCGAGTCTTTCAGACGAGAAAAGCCGAGGGCCCAAGTCACGGCATATAATACATAAATATCAATCAATCAATCTAAATTTTCTCACATTTATCCAGACTTTATATCAATTCTATAACACATTTTGTTTTTAAAAACACAGAAACATGTTCGTCCCGATTTATATATTTCATGCACCAGTTTCAGATGCATCTCGTGTATACTAATCTTAAAATAAGAGATCATGTCGAAATTCCATCAGAATCATTATCCTTTCAAATGTCATATTTTGTACCCTCTTGTGTCCTCATTGTGTTCTTAAAAATTAAAACAAGCGCGGACCTCTAAGCGACCTCTAAAATTTAGGCGTCAGCTGGCTCCCATTAAAACAAATAGTCGCCAATGCAACTTTTTAGTCGCCAGGCAATTTTTTCTCAGGCGCCAACTTTAAAAGCTAATAATAATCAAATGAATATAAGGTAGGGGGTATTTTACAATCGTAAAGAAAAAGATCTTCAAGAAACATAAGCCAGCTTAATGCCAAAAGGTTTTACCTTAAGCATACATTTATATCTCTCAAGCCACTGTCCGGAGTCCTCATATACATAGTTCTCTCCTACCGACCAGAACGAAAAAGAAGATCGTACATTTTAGTCCCGGTTTGCGACGATGATAAAATCTTATATTCAAAACGATCATTCTTTTTAAGAAACTCGGATCTCATGAAATATTCTTTAAAACTATAATAACGTCAAGGATTGTTTACACAATTTACATTTTATGCTCGCTCTTACAATTATGACCTATCTGTTAATTTCTCGATGATATCTCTAATGAGTGAAAATTTAATTGCAACAATTGACCACATCTCCCGTCCAATTTACATGTACTGCGTTGCACAATGGTCTATTTTCTGGAGTGAACAAATATCCGGGACGGCTATCGTCTTACTCAGTCTACCTGAGCTGTGTACCCTGACGCAATGCAAAATTTCGTTCACACAAAAAACAAGCAAACAAAAAAAAAAAAAAAAAAAAAAAAAAAAAAAAAAAAAAAAAAAAACACAAGCTGTCAAAGAGAACACAAGATATGTCCATTGTTATCTTTTAAATTTCTTTCATTTTCTATAGATAGTTCCGGAATTTAACGATCGCCAAGTCAATTCAAAATGGTCAATTCAAAATAGTTTGGCAATTTAAAGAGAAATTTTAGGCGCCAATAATAAAAAAAAAAAATAGTCACCTTGGCGACTAAATCAGTCCCCAGTTAGAGCCCTGAAGTGTTGATTTTAAAAGAGAAAACAATTTAATTTCTTAACTGCAAACTGTCACAATTTTAACTGAGTTTTGTTTTTACGTCCAAAATTAAGGGCCAAAACCATTGTACTTTCACCTTACATACCAACACATAAAATGGAAAAAAAAAATTATATCTATAAAACAATAAAAATAATCGTATATTTTTATTTGTGCTTGGAATAAGGTTGCGCACATTAGCAAATTAAAAAAAAAATACTACCTTGCTTATCCGGGTCATGTGTTGCAGCATTAAATCCAACGAAGCAGCAAAAGAAGCATATTATATTTAATTAATAAGTGAGCTGCAACAATATGAGTCTTATTTTTCAAACATTTTCATTAATTTTTTAAAGAGTACCGAGTATAGGTCAAAATTTGCAGCGCTCTACCGGCAAGTGGCGTCCCCATATGAGTGTAAAATTCTCGAAAGGGACGTTAAACAACAAACAAACAAACTTCCTTTATGCCCTGTGGTAATTATCCTCTAAAATTAAAATTGTCAATTACTGACAAATCTAACTAAAGTTTTGAAGATATAACAGGTTGAGAAGTGTCTGTGACTTGTAAGAATGCATATGTTCATATTTATATTGCTTCCTTTAACTTCCTAGCATGCCTGTTAAATTTTACATCATAGAGTCCAGAAAAGAAAATCTAGAAAAGATGACCCCCCCCCCAAAAAAAAAAAAATATATATATATATATAGTGTGCTTAATGTTTAAGCAGATTTCTGCAGATTGTATACATTATTGCCTAATTTACACATACGGCCTCGATATCCAGCTTTACAATCAAGACATTCTCCTGTTTCTATATCACAGTATCCACAGTTGACATATGGGCAGAGGATTGAACAACTAGCACCATAGTACCCAGGTACAGGGCAACCTTTGCGAAAAAAAATCGTGTATTTCACTTATGGCTACAATCATTTTAAACAAGAGGCCAATGGGCCGCATTATTTCTGAACACTTTGGCTAGGGTAAAACAAATCAGTTCATAATTGAAAAGTTCAAATATATAAGTAGTTCCAAACTACCACTCAAGGGGTCATGATTAGAACAAAATTGAATCTACATTAACTGAGGATGCTTCCATTTTTCTCTGACTAATCAGGACTTTAGAAGATTTTTTAAAGATTTTTCCAATATATTTCTCTACTTTGATCTCCTATTGTGATTGGCCTTATCACTGGGGGTCATGATTTGAACAAATTTGTATACACTATCTTCGGATGCTCCATATATTTCCTTGGAAAACTTACCGTAAACTTCGACCTCACATAATTCATTGAAAGCATATTGTGAGTAATTAGCTGGATAATGTATTTCCTCTAATATTTCGTATATATATCACATCACATACTGTCCATGTATTGGGCAGCTTATGTTCACCATAAGTGGAATGGTATATATTGTATAGTTTGTATCGTTATAACACAAAAGACCTTCGTTACTGTTGGATAAATTGGATATGTATAGAGAGAATCCCAAGAATCTACTCGTGAACGGGTTCCTGAAATCTGAAACAATACAAACATACATTTTATCATTTCCAACTGATAGTTTTCTATCTATGAAAAAAAAAAAAAAATTAGGAAATATCAGGTTTAGAAAATCAAATAACGTTTCTAAATACCTGATTAATTAAACGCTTTTTCAAATGATTGGTAGATAGACAACGTAATTTATAATGAGTTACTGACGTTATGAATAATCGAATTTCTTTAAGAGGGGTCATTAATATATCCTAAAATATAAAGTATAAAATATATGCTCTTGAAATTTTTAACAAAGGAAATTGAGAATCTCATCGATAATCATTTGATTTCTTTTATATAAATCTGTGGTACCTGACCCGTTTTGTAGTAGTCCATAAAAAAACAGGAAAATATCATGAATTTTGACATTTTGAGATGCCCCCTCTGGAAACCAGATGGTAGGATTTTGTATTTCGTGTAAAAAAAAAATTCACAATATAGTATTACTTACCAAATAATATTATTTAAGCAAAATGCCTATCGTAGCATTTGTATAATTTGCTCCGAAGTGCGAAAAAATAGTACTTTCCTTTATAATTCTACAGTCAATGTACCTGTATTTTGAGATGATCCCTAAAAATAACCAGATGATAGATTTTCACTAAACTTGGCATGTATACTGAAGTCAATATAAGGTACATATGGAATAAAATTAAAGAGTTTCCCTATAGTAGTTTTCACACAATAAAACCCCAGTCGGCTCCCTCAAATATTAAAAAAAAAATCTAAATTTCTATGTAATATAACATTCTTGATTAAGAACTGCATTACAATTAGCTTCACAAAAATATTAGTAAGGAATAATACCATCCATATGCATAGCCTGTATGTTGGTGAAACAATTAATG